ATTAAAATACATTTCTTTTAAATGTATAGCATATTTTTTAATAAGGCAACAACATATGATAGATACGATAGGACAAAACAAATACAGTGCAGCACGAACTGTTTTTATACAGTCTATGAGCACGAAGCACTTACAATGTGCGCATCCGGTGTGCAGAATGATGCGCTTGAAGCAACATGGCGTCACAGTCTGACAAGAGTTTGTGTGAACTTTAATGTAAGGACTTAAATATTCATATGTAGCTCACATTAAGCTATCGTATGGCTTCAGAAGTAGCTTTGGATAAAAGCGTCTGCTAAATGACTAAAAGTAAAGTAAAGTAAAAGAAGTAACACAGAATAATTCGCACAATCGGAAAAAAAAAAAAATCTCGGATTTGGATCGGCCCTCTCTGACCGATACCCGATCCGAGAAAAATGGCACTATCGGAGCCGATACCCGATATGAATATCGGATCGGCGCATCCCTAGTTTTGTTGGTCTTTTTTTGAGTTTGAAAGCAGATGGTCATGGTGAACTACCTACTTTTTGTGTTTCACTAAATAAATTAATTAACTAATTTTTCAGATTATTCACTCACCAATTAATGAGTAATCACAGAATTGTCATTTTGGGTTGAACTATTCCATTAATGAATACTTTACACAATTCATCAGTGCACATTTTATGTAAAAGGAAAACTTAAAATCTAATAATTTCTCCTCTGCAAAACAACATTTCTGTAATAAAAATAATATTATTCCATAATATTATAGCCTACTTTTTATGGTTAACAATTCAGGTTCCATTCATTAATGTTAATTGTCTACATCAGTTAACATGCGTCTATAACACTTAATTTATTAATCTTAATTAATGTTAACGTACGAAAATCAGCATTGAAATCAGAAGTTATATCTGTTAATATTATGTAAAGGTATCGTTCACACAAAAAAATTAAACTTCTGTCATCATTTACCAAACAGTTGACGGTAGCCATTGACTTCCATAGTATTTTTTTTTCCCATACTATGGAAGTCAATGGCTACCGTCAACTGTTTGGCTACCAACATTCTTCAAAATATCTTCTTTTATATTCAACAGAAGAAATTAACTTATACAGGTTTAATTGTAACAAGTAGACGGTGAGTAAATGATGACAGATTTTAATTTTTGGGTGAACTATCCCTTTAATGCAATTAACTAACATTAACTAAGGTTAATAAAAGCTGCAACAAATGCATCGCTCATTGTTACTTCATGTTAATTAATGCATTACCTAACAAACTATTTGAACCTTATTGTAAAGTGTTACCAAATTAAGTCACAGTGCATAAAATCAGTGGCTCGTTGACTGGCATTAACTTCTTTAATTCAGTTACATAAAAACGTAGATTACTCTAAGTTGAATCTGAAAAATAAGACTGATTACCCCTAGCTAATTGGTAGTTGGTCAGGTCTAGTTCTTAAGACACAGTCTTACATATTGTTTAAACATCTTGGCTGTCTCAACCCACATTATTCCCCAGTGATTCTATATGTTTCACGCTCTCTTCTCATGGCACTCATGGATGTGTGTGTGTGTATGTGGCACCTGTGTGAAACCATGCCCTGGTCTCTGCAGAAGTGGCTGAGGAAGCGTGCGTAGTACAGGTGCATGACGGCATGCTCCTTCCCTCCGATATAAACATCCACAGGCATCCAGTGATCCGCTCTCGAGTGCTCGAAAGGCCTGCGAGAGGACACAAACACCTCATACTGTATCTGTATTACACGAGAGCGACCACTGGGATGCGCTCATGCACAAACATCAACACTGAAACATGACGAGAGAGTGTGTGTGTGTGTGTGTGTGTGTATGTGTGTGTGTGTGTGCGACAGGTGTTACAATCTCACAAACTCTCTAAGAACACTTTAATGCTGCCGCTGCTTTATACCGACATCACAATCACGAATAACACATTCAACCGCACACTGAAGGGAGAATGTGAAATGCTAAGTGAATTTAAACAAAACAATAAGCACACTTCAACAAACTGTGATAAACAAACACGTCACACTCTACATCCACCTGCCAGCAGCATCAAACTAACCCTCCATTTGATACAGAACAATAACAGAGCTCAGGAAGTACTGTAATTCCCCCGCGCTTTCTTCATAGAAACTGAGTTAAAGCAACAACGGATCAGCATCTTTGGAAGCACCACAGACTAGAACAGTCTCCACAAACACCTGGTGGGACAGAGAGAGCCAGACAGAGCCGGTTTCCTTACCTCAGCGGGTTCTGAGGGTCAGTGTATCTGAAATAGTACCAGGAGGAATCCACAAAGGTGTCCATGGTGTCTGTTTCTCTCTCCGCCGGCCCTTTACACCTGATATCAACAGGAGGAAGAGTGTAAGTGCTGGGCTAGTAGATATGCTTCATTTCAAGAAACGGTGCGTTTTGTGCCACCATGACTCACTCATAGTTAACAGAATACTGAACTTGGTCATACTATGTGACATATTTAAAGGTGATGTGCATACTAAAGCTAAAATATTAATATATCATGTTCCAACTTAATACACAAAGTAAAGCAAGTCATTCAGTCTCTTTTCAATCCCATTAGGGGACATTCACACACAACATGTTTTTGGATTTAAAAACGCAGGGCAGTGGGATGACTTTTTTCAATTAATCTTTTTAATTTGTACACCACCGTTTTAGACTTTTATGTCACGCACGAGACGCTGCAAAACCCTCGACGCGAGTACAAACACATTAATCTAGCATGTCTACTCAGAAAACAATGGAAAAGCAAAAAAAAAAAGTTCTTATTTGATCTTTTTTTATCATATTTAAACCTTTTTGAACAGATGGTTCAAACAGATGCTTTCACCAATTCACCAACTCTATAAATGTTCAACCCTTAAACAGTTACAGTGTGACAGATTTGGCAAAAAAAATATTTTGACAGAAAAAATCCATGAAATAAAATCATTTGTTTAATGAAACGTGATTTATAACAATACAGACTGAAACCGAGTGATACTACCGTTCATTCAAATTATAATCTATTCATATTATAACCAGTGTTATTTTATATCATTGAGATACTATTCTAGCTTAATTATTATTTTGAATTTTATTATTTTATTATTATTTTGAATTTATTTTTTTAATTTTGTTGTTTTTGTTATTTTTAGTGTTTTATTATATTATTATTATTATTATTATTATTAATGTTTATTTTTATTTCAATTTTAGTTCCAGTTTTATTTTAGTAAATCAAGTACAACTAAATTAAAATGAGAAGTGATGCCTTGACAAGTAGCTGAAATAATATATATATAGCTTATTTATTCAGCTTTCAGACGATGTATAAATCTCAATTTCGAAAAATTGACCCTTATGACTGGTTTTCTGGTCCAGGGTCAGATATTATTTTATTTCAGTTATTTCAAGTAATGAAAATGTTTTTTTTTTATGGTTTTAGTTTCAGTTTTAGATTTAGTTAACTTTAACAACTCTGATAAGTGTTATAAGTATGAAATAAATACTTTTATTCTGCAAGGATGCATTAAATTGATCAAAAGTGACAGTAAAGACATTTATAATGTTACTAAAGATTTCTATTTCAAATAAATGTTGTTCTTTTGAGCTTTCAATTCATCAACTGCATCAACTGCATTGATAATAATCAGAAATGTATCTCAAGCAGCAAATCAGCATATTAGAATGATTTCTGAAGATCATGTGACACTGTCATGGCAAAATTCTGACATGTTGGTGTTATATCTTTCACTTGGATGCAAGCTGGATAAAACAAGCTGGATAAAACAAAAACTGTGTTCATCTTCATTTCAGGCTGCAAAGCAACAAAATCTGATTATTGTAAAGGGGGGTGATTCTTTTCTATACCCACTGTACATAAACTAGACAAGAATCAGACATCTGATTCTAACACAATAAGGGATGAAATCTAAAACTAGTCCATTTCTAAAGACTTTCTTTCATTAACAATTGGAGCTACCAAAAATTAAAATCTAAAATCGAACTACAAAATGAAATGAGTTCTGAATGAATTTTTCACAGTAATAACCCTGCTGTGTGGTTTCTCAGCTGGCACCACTGAAATCCTAAACACTGAATGCCAATGAATGCCAGTCTCGCACCCAAAGCAAACAGCGCTTTGCATACTGGGCCATCTGTCAGTTTACAATACAGTCACACTTACTCTAACGAGTCTCGGCAGACTTCATTCAGCTAATCATCCGCATCAAAAGAAACTAATTAACGGCCGAACCCCGACCCGCACGCAGCGTGAGCAGATCCCAGCCCTGCTAATGTCAGTCCTAAAGTGTGCGGCCGGCCGACCCTCCCTCCACTCCAGTCTGAGAGAGTCCAGCCCGTCTTTGATAATCAGTCGAACGTTCAGAAAATCCTGCCTATTATACTGCCACGCGCCTCGCAGTCGCCTAGCAACAGGGCGAAGGTATAGCAGGTTAATTCTTTGAAAGCCAGGTGCCATCTGAGAGACGAGCATCCCACATATGCGCCGTAATGAGGTGCTCAGAGAGAGTGTTTATAGCAGATCTACACTGAGAAATTAGGGCATTATTATGCTTTAAAAAAACTGATTTTACAGTTTTGTTTTTGACTCGTTATCGACGAAATGGTGGAAGTGTGTGCGGCTGGACTGATAATAGACTGGACACAGAATGTCATGAGAGGAAGCCATTAGATGCACACTGACAAGAGAAAGCAGCTCAGCAGTGACAGCTGCAGACAACAGAGCGACTGTGTCCGAAAACTACAGTAAAGCTGCGGCCAGTCAGTATAGTTACCCAAAAATGAAAATTTGCTGAAATGTGCTCACCCTCAGGACATCCAAGATGTAGGTGAGTTTGTTTCTTCATCAGATGTGGAGAAATGTAGCACTGCATCACTTGCTCACTCTGCAGTGAATGGGTGCCGTCAGAATGAGAGTCCAAACAGTTGATAAAACATCACAATAATCCACAAGTAATCCACACCACTTCAGTCCATCACTTAATATCTTGTGAAGCCAAAAAAAAGTGTGTTTGTTAGAAACAAATCCATCATTAAGGTGTTTTAACTTCAAACCATTACCTCCTCCAGTTATTGCTTCCTTCAGTGAAAAAGTCATATAGTCTGAATCAGGAAAGAATATGTATAAGATTATGGACTATTTATTATTATTATGGGTTATTTTAGTCAGAACTAAAATAACCACTTGTTGGACTGGAGCGGTGTGGATTATTGTGATGTTTTCACCTCGTTCTGATGGCACCCATTCACTGAAAAAGAAAATCTATATCTTGGATGGCCTGAGGATGAGTACATTTTCAGCTAATTTTCATTTGTGGGTGAGCAATTCCTTTAAAGATGACACGAAATGAAAATTCACCCAGTCTATTTTCTAAAGGCATGTTGTAGATCCTAATGTGAACAATTCATCTGTGCATGTTTCTTTTTTTTTTTTTTTTCAAATGTTTTGACCTTGTAATGTTTAATCAATGTTTTAGTCGTTTTTGTGAAATTCATTGACCTTCATTGTATGGACAAAATTTAATTTTTAATTTTCATTTCTGCAGTGTTGTGCTGGATAGCCCCACCCACAGTAAAATCTCATTGGTCCAATATCCCGCTGTACATCAAACACTTTCTGAACGGCTGTTATTGTGGCATGTCGCATAGCATTTTTGAGTTAAGATAAGACCTGAGAGTGGATTTTAAAGCCGTCCTCCTGGGGTACTAATTAAACAAATTACCTTCACACTTGCTATTTTTAAGTGTAATACACCAACGTAGTGTTGCACCATCCAATCATTAGCTCTCATTTAAACTGTAAAAGTCCATACTAAAGCCCCGTTCACACCAAGAACGATAACTATAAAGATAACGATATTAGCGTCCACACCAGCGAACGATATCATCTGTTTATTCTAAGTGCACGCACGTCTGCCGCTTTAAATTCTTGAGCTCGTTACAGCAGGATGGACTCTGATTGGCTGTCAATTTTTTATCGTTCATCAGCTGGAGAAAAATTGTTTTGAAAGTGATTCCAACGATATCGTTTCTCTTTGTCTATATCGTTATAGTTGTGGTGTCGACTCTGCTATTCTTTAATATTCAGAGCGATTTTTAGAACTATATCTTTATCGTTATCTTTATAGTTATCGTCCTTGGTGTGAACGGGCCTTAAAGGCTTTGCTACTACTAGCTAGTTTGTAACTAATTCTGTATTTGTTTGCACCATTTGTTTTTGAGATAAAGCTCTCTGTAAAGTAATTTGTAGTTGCATAATATGACATTTACCTTCAATGCAATTCAATCAATCTGCTGTTTTATTCAAATTATTACTCCTGGTTGCAAATATTTAGTTTATATTTAGAGTTACGTTACTAAGTTTAATGTTGCAATGCAAAAATATTTAGTAGTGCGTAACCAGCCACAGAAAATCAAATAACATTTTGAAGCAATGTCACCACAGGCGGATTTTTCCAACGAGGCGGGGTTGAAAGCGAGTTTTGTGAGTTTTGCTTTGTTGTGTGTTAGAGTCCCACAACAAACATTCAAACATATAATCAGCACCAAAATCCGGCTGTGAGATCTTTCTCTGTTTTTTATCCTCCGATTTCAATTAAGCTTCTAACAGCGAAGCCAAGGAAATGACTCCTCTTTTCCTCAAGGACGAGGCAGATAAGCACCATCTCTCTCTTGATCTGGTTTCCGTGTCTTTCTCTCTCCGCAGCCACTTCGCTGAATGTAGGCGATCATTTAAAGAAATAAGGTGATTTTCTTCGAGGTCTCACAGATCAGAGATGATCTCCTCGTCAACACAGGAACAAGCAGGGCAAAAACGTCACCGTCTGAATCAAATACTGTAATTATACTAGTTACTACAAATATGACAGATTTCACACTGATTTACTTCAACTTGACAAGACTGAACTTATACCAGTGATGAGATCTTAGCATGTTTTAAAAGATCTGGAATTTAAAAAAAAGGTATCTCTTTAGTATAAGGACCAATTCTCACTATTAACCAGTTGCTTATTAGCATGCCTATTATTAACATATTGGCTGTT